GGTCTTAAAATAATTGAGAAGAATTTGCTACCTTTCTATAACATCAAGAAATGGTTAGATATTCTAGTCTTCTCGGATAGGGACGAATAAATGGAGGTCCCGTCTCCTGCAGGGTTGGGGTAGGAGACGTTAATTTCCCACACACGAGATTACTGTGTGATGGATGTCCTCCCCTGGGGTGGGATGGGTGGGAAGGTGAGATCGATAGACTGAAGCGGCTGCCAGAGGCGCCTGATATGCTGACGTCTGTTCTCAACCTTACACTGCACCCGTAATTCAGCCTCTGGGCTGCAAGTGGTCAGATATAAACTATATTCGTATTCATTCATATTCATTACAATAATTTAAAGCTGTACATTAGTATTCATCATTATTATGATCTGTCGGAATAATCTCTCTAATTTTCATCCATTTTCTAAGATATTTACTTTTGTAATTGTAAGGACACGCACTTGGACTCTTTCATGAGCAAGCGCGCCCTGATCGAAATATGTACGTCAACACTGAGAGGGATAATATCGAAGCTGGTAAGATACAAGTATTTTCTCTCTTGTATACCTTTTGGTATCTCTTTCTTCGTATAAGGTCACATGCATTGGACATGCAGTCCAATGCATGTGACCTTAAACCGTTTCAAGTGATATCACGCTTCTACGGTTTCCTTAAAAAAGTAATGATAATTGAAGACATCTAAAGATGCCCATCTTTGCGGTAAATTCATGTTGTAATCGATGTGGAGTTTTCTTTATGACCGTTTTACAGTTAACGGTCAGCCATTGAAACCCTATTGCTTAATAAAATGTCTGAAGATTTTAGTACAAATATGGAGATGTTTTCAAAACATAAGAGCAAGTCGTCAATTTTCTTGTTATGTAGAATTTTGGAGTTACATGTGCGTGTTACAATTACTTCTATCAAGCTGCGTTCTCAGTTACCCAGCATGGCAAAAAAGCAAAAAATTAAACGGTGTGGTGGAAAAGCTCTGGACTGGTTTCGCCCACGCAACTTGCACTCGTGTGATCATTGCTTTTCTTAGTTCTTGCGATTTTTTACGTTTTAGGAAAGGAATCAAACTTTGACAAGTTGACGCCCGCTCTGCAGCAATCCTGGATCAGTGCCGTTTGGTACCCTGAACGATTACTTCTCCATTATGCATTTCTCTCCGTTCGCATTCACAAAGACAAAAAGCCAAGTATTACAGCCAAAGACAACAGGGTGAGTCAGCAGTTGCATAGATATAATAAAATAATTTATGAAACGATATGTTGTTCCTTTTTTGCTTAAGTCGACGATTATCTACTGAATTTGCATACATTTAGGTATCTCTCCGTTACCTTAGTCAGGGAGATTTCATGAGTTAGTTGGACCTGCAGCAAATGAATTTAATGTACAACTGTCCGGGTAGTAAGTCAGCAACGGTAGTACAACGTACCTGTATTAGCGCTATACACCTTTTTTAACAGCTCCGTGGTCATTTATTTGTTGAAAAAAAATTGGTGCTTTAGCTTTCCATAGCCTGCAGAGCAGGCGTTCTAGTGGAGTTTGGGCGTAAGTTAGACCGCGCGAAAAAGAGAGCGAGGCGAAAAATTACGAGGTAGGAGGAGGGGCAGAGCAGAGAAAGGAACGCCTGCCAGCAGCACTATGAAGACAGTTGTAAACGGAGGCATATAAAAAGCTTTACGAAAAAATTAGAAAATGCATTCTTTTACTGCTGCTTCTACCAGCGTTTTCGAGCGCTTTGCTGCGAGTGATTGATGAAAACACACCAAAAGGGGGGCGTTTTTATTGGTAGACGATCGCGACTGGATGTACAAACTCTCTGGAAAGGAGACCACCCTTGTGATTTACCTGATACGTTATACAGTTTTTCACTTTTGCTCCACGGAAAGAAAGACTGTTACATATCGTCAAATTATTAAAAGAATTTTATTTGTTGTTTTTCGGTGTGTAATATATTAATAACACATATCTAAGACGGCAATTAGACTCGAGTTTGTAATATACTTCCACAAATAATATTGGTCAATTTTTGATAGAAGGCCTAACTAAATTTAAAGTTCATGTCAAAACATGTTTCGCTTTCCAGAATTCAAGCAAAAGTCTAAGAGATTTAACTAACGGTTAAAAATTTTGGACGGTTTAATCAGTGTTAAGCCTACGAGGCCCAAATCATTAATATGCCAATCTAAATTTTCATCTGATTTCGTTTTTCTAACACTTAAAAAGTAAAATTCATATTGTTTTGATCGTTAACTTTGATCGTTCCAATTGGGCTGAGCAGCTTTTTCCTACTCCCACAAAAAAATATTCAAATATACAGCTCTCATCATAAAAAAAGACAGTACATATAGTAACTCTGCTCATTTTTAAATTTTAGATAAACAAATTCAGAGTACGCGAAAACGCTAGTTACGACATCTGCAACTGCTTTTACACTCTGACTTTCATGAATCACAACCTTTACCCTTTACCTGCAATACCAGTGAAGCAAATATTCATGCTTGAAAATTTTTCAAGTGTTCCAGCAATTTAAGGTTAAACCTGTTATCATCAAAAGCAGAGGTGCAGTAAACTGTTACTACAAAGTTGCATTTTAAATGCTCAAATTAAAAGACAATAATTCTATATAGACAGGAAAAAACGAACGATATAAAATCCCGACGTTTCGGCGACTTCATGACGCCATTATCAAGGGTACAAATGAAAATAAAATTAACAAATGCGAGTTCAAGAGTTACAACTAATTTGCATAGGGGAAGTAGCTACACAAATACTTTAGCACGGATAGAATCCGTTTGCGCGTTCAAACTCCGAGTTAATTGTTTAATGTAAAGCATCTCGTTGACAAGACAATCGAATTTGTTCATGCACTTCTTGAGAGCTTTGAAACAGCTAAGAAGGTGCTCAGGGACAGCACCTGCGTGGTCGTTGTCGTAGTGCTTGCGTACTGAAGATGACGTGCTCTTATGGCTATCCACGCGGGCATATAAATGCTCCCGTGTGTAACCTGTGCGACACAGGGAGCTATGTTGGTTACACACGGGGCATTTATATGCCCGCGTGGATAGCCATAAGAGCACGTCATCTTCAGTACGCAAGCACTACGACAACGACCACGCAGGTGCTGTCCCTGAGCACCTTCTTAGCTGTTTCAAAGTTCTCAAGAAGTGCATGAACAAATTCGATTGTCTTGTCAACGAGATGCTTTACATCAAGCAATTAACACCGAGTTTGAACGTGCAAACGGATTCTATCCGTGCTAAAGTATTTGTGTAGCTACCTCCCCTATGCAAATTAGTTGTAACTCTTGAACTCGCATTTGTTAATTTTATTTTCATTTGTACCCTTGATAATGGCGTCATGAAGTCGCCGAAACGTCGGGATTTTATATCGTTCGTTTTTACCTGTCTATGTATTACTAAATCTTTGTTAATACGAATAATTCTATAAATGAAAGTAAACAGTGGTCCTCCTAACAATTTCGCCAACTACTCTGGCTTGCTTGTCGCCGGGTATCACGATACATTTACAGTGTCCACATCAACAACTTGAAAGGAGTCAACCACAGATTTCCGACAGTATTTGTAGAATAATTCTTCTGCTCTCATGAGGATAATGTTCAAGTCCATTTTCATTGATAAACTGCCATAGAAAAAAGAATTTACCAAAGGAAATGATCAATTGATCAAATTTAACAGTAACATCAAATTCAAGGTCCTACAAGCAATTAAATTCGACGATAGCGCGACGTCTAAAACGAATTAAATTCGTCTGGTAAATTAAATTCGTCCTTGACGTTTTATTCGTCTTGGAAAGACGGATAAAATATCGATAACGCGTCTTCAGTTTTAATTTATTCGTGTTTTTCTCGTTGCCATGTTCCCACCAATAACGTAGCTCCATTTTCTGCCTTTAAAAGCACACACAACCCACAATTCCTCCATTCGCTCCGACGAAAGGGCTAACGCTCGAAACGTCAGCTTGTTTAATCGTTACGGTGGCCAATTTACCATTTCAAATTTGTTGATATATCCAAATTATTCAGTTTTAACGTCGCACTAGCGTCGCGTCGAATGATATGCATACATTTTCTTAATGTATTTCAACCGCGCCATGTTTTTTTCCAAATGACACCTCTGACCAGAGGCACTGGATTCGGGAAGAGAATTAAATTCGATCGTATTGATTTCGACGCATAAAACCACGGCACGATTTACGTCGACGGAACGACGAATTTAATGGAATTAGATTGGTCTGAATTACATTGGACTGTAGCGCGACGTATAAAGTAGGCCTTAGAGGAATCTGTCCGGGTCGGACACATGAAGCGGCGAAGATGTCGAATAATAACAAAACAGCGCTTCGACCAATGAGTTTAATGACGGTGAACAGGAGCCCATTACCCGGAGCTTCCATCTTCCATACTGACCCTCTGAGCAAACCCTGTCCCGTATCTTTCTATTTTTTAGAAGCACCTCCCACGGCGGTTTTTGCGGGTGTTTTTATAATAGCCAATCATAAGAGAGCTGTCGTCTCTTTTGTGTTACGTCTCTACTGTGTCACTTGCAGGCTACAGGAAATTATTTGGCGGAAAGCGCGGAAAGATTAAAGAACCCCAGCAAATATCACAGTTCTAAAAATAAAATAAAAAGATACGGGACAGGGTTGATTCAAGGGTACAACTGAGACGGAAGCTCCGGGTAATGGGCTCCTGCGGTGAAGAATACCAATATTTACAAAACGATCCGGTCGCCCTTTCATCAAAGATTACGAGACTCAGGGAGCCGTAAAAACCACATGATAAAGGGCGGTAGGCGAAATAAAAGGAACAGTTTTACGTACCTAAACTCTTATAAGCGCTTCACCACGTGCGAAAAAGATGGCGAATAAAATTACTACTGAAGGATTGTGGTCTACGTGACATACAAAAAACGTGGAACGGAACGGAACGGAACGGAACGGAACGGACTAAAACATAAAACCTTGTTGAGGAATAGCCTCAACAGCGTCTAACTACTAAACATGGAAAGCAATCATCAGGCACGAGAAATTGAAACAATATGATAAATAAACTCAGGAGAATAATAAACTATTGCTTATATCAATCTTAATAACAAACCCAAGACAACCATAATACTGAAAGGGGCGTGCTTCCCTAGAATGCTGAGTATTATAGTAATTATTGTTCATTACGAGTGACATAACTGCCTCCGGAAGAAGGAGGAAGGAAAAGACTGTTTCTGTTTTTCGCAGCTCAACAGGTAGACCTTTCCCCTGCAAAATACCTCTCTCTAAGAAAAGTGTTAAAAGTTAGTTAAAGACATCATAAAAGAACTTAGCGTCCTGCGGAGTTCCTTACAGGCGAAGCAACTTCATGTAAAACTACTTCAACCGTTGCAATGTTGACCTTTCGACTCCTACGAGTGATCAGCATTTAATTTCACCTCTGAATCACACATTAATATATCATCGACAATGATGGAAATGAAATTTGCTCAACAAATTCTCCTTGTCACCATCTTATGAAATGTATGCAGAACAGTATGGAGAATATGCAAACTGATGTTAGCGTGGAAAGGATTAACAATAAACCTTCAGACTTTGCAGGTCACCCAATCACCCCTTTACATGCATACCTCCTGTAGGGAATACAAACTGTAGGTTGGCGCATTACATGCTGTAAACATCAGTTTAAAAGACAATCATCACTCTCACCCGTGAATAGTGTTGTACACAGATGAAACTTCCGAACACTTCAATAAACTTTTTCTGTATTCCTTCAGAACAGCTAGACATACAAATACTTCAAACGAATAATTCGCCATTTCCACAACTTGCGCATGAAATTCACCTCCTGTTGTAAAAAAATTAAAAGTTCAAAGGATCAGTAGACTCAGAGATGAATCACTAGTAAACAAAAGGCATGCATTGTTCCGGCAACAGAAACTGATTTGAGGACTTTTATTGAGCTTATTAGTAGGCCCTCGTCAACAGCGCTTCGGGAGATCGCTTCTTCGCCCGCGGGAAAGTATTTGGCCTTAAGCAACGTGAGCCCGCGAGAGGTCTGCAAGGGGTCAAGCACCCCATCATTAGTGCCAGACCCCAGGCGAACCTCTCCACGACTCGTTTCAAATCTTCCCACGAGCGGAGAATGCGCGCCCTGCAAGGCTGTTAACAAATGAAGGTCTACTCGCAGACTAAAGTTTATCAAAAGCAAAAATGATATCCTGATGGCCTAACGCGCCACAATTCGTAGCTCTAAAACTTTAATTGTTGTTAAAAATTTAATTGTTGTTAAAAAGTACAAACTGAGTGTGGAAGGTAACTCTGGAAGGTACTCGTTAAGCTATACGCAAGTTACTTCCTCTCAATGGTCGAGAAAGCAACATTAACCGCTACACACGTCAGATGCAGAACTTAAACGTAGACTTCCCCAATTCTTCATTGAAAAATTTTTCGCTCCTCTAGGAGTGAATTTTTAAACTCCTTTCCTATAATTGTGTGATATTACCACAATAGCTGACATGAACCAACCATCTTTCTCTAATTCTTTAACTCTCTGTCTCTCCCGCTCTCTTTCAGCCTCCACTGATGACGACTCGAGATGTTGACTGCTGATTATTTCAAACATTGTTAACGCATCTTCGAATGAGAACTCTCTTTTAAAAGTCAAAACAAGCCACCTGGGGTAATTAAAGAGAAAGCAATTTTTATTTGCGCAAATGAAATTTTTGACACCTTTGCTACTCGTAGACTCCGTAGAACGCTTTTCTCACTTGAACTTGGCAGATGTATATGGCCTCAGTCACAAACGATTCCTACAGCTCAGTGATAGAGCATCGTGGCGTAAATTCCGAAACTTGGAGGTTCGAATCCTTGGTGGGCAAGTCACCGTCTTTTTTGTTTTGTTTTAATCACTTATTTTTTTTTAATTTGTACCATGCACGATACAAATGAACAACTCATTTTCTAGCCGAGTTTCTTGGTGGTCTACACCAATAGGAAACACTAGGTGTAACAAAATCTTACCCTCTAAAAGATAGCTAAAAAATATATGCATTGTACATGTACCTGTGAACAAACAACATATCTTCCATTCCGTTTGCTTTAAAATGATTAAAAAGCTGCTCGTCCATTTTCCTAAGAAGTAACCTGACATGTGCTGGTGATATAAAAACAAACAAGCAAATAAAGAAACAAAAAATTAACAAAAACAAAACAAAAACATACGCAAAGCCAGGCAAAGAGAAAAAATACTTTTCCTATTAAAAACTATTTTGATATACAGTACAGTGCACGTGAGTGTAGCTGTTGGTTACTGTTCCCAAATTTTCTTTCCTTTAAAATTTCTCTTCCCACTTTTTGCCAAGATTAAATAAAAAACAAGACACCAATAATAACAACAACAACAACAAACAAACAAACAAACAAACAAATAGAAACAAAGGAAACATACTGAATCCAAGATTCGCGGACATAAACAACAGAAGTTCAGGAATACCAACTTAATAATAATAACGTTTATTTCTTATGTTGCGCAGTCTAACATGCAATAAAAGATATGATCGAATGCGCATTACAACATTAAAATCTTACAGCAATGAGGCTAATCCTAATAATGATGGTAATAATAATAATTTACAATTTTTCGGAAAAACAATAAGGTAAAATATGAATTAATAAAAGAACTAATAGAAAGCTAAATTAAAAAGGTGTGTCTTTAGTAAAACTTTAAAGTATCCAACGATTGACACTGTCTAATTTCCAGAGGTAGTCGGTTCCATACTTTGGGCGCAGCATGTTCGAACGCCCTTTCCCCGAGTGTCTTTTTTGTTCTGTAGGTGTTATCGATTAGGAGTATGCCCCGGTGTGACCTCAACTGATACCGCGAACTCACTTTAATTTTTATCAAGTCTGAGAGATATTGTGGTGCGACCACGTAGATACATTTGTGAACTAACATTGCTATCTTGAATTCTATTCTGTGGTTGACCGGAAGCCTGTGCAGGTTGATCAGGGACGGTGTGATATGATCGTACCTGGGTACAGTGCATACCAGTCGAGCTGCCATGTTTTGTAGGCGTTGCAGCTTGCAAAGATGAACAGCGGGTGTACCATATAGCAGACCGTTGCAGTAGTCTAATCGTGACATTATAATAGCCCGTACAATTGATTTCCTATTGTCATATGATAAATACTTTCTAATACGCCGGATGTTGTATAGATGGTAATAAATAACCTGACATATACTGTTAATGTGTGTGGTCATATTCATGTTTGCATCAAGCCAAACACCAAGATTTCTAACAGAACAGACAGCAGAAACCCTTACCTCACCTACTTGCAAGTCATTTATCGTAACCTTATTTAATTGTGCGCGTGTACCTATAATAAGAGACTCGGTCTTAGCAGCGTTCAGCTGAAGTTTGCCTTAGGCCATCCAGGTTCTTATATCCCTGATGCAAACTCATAACGCATCAACAGTAGCCGCCTCGGTAGCAGAGCCATCTGGCTTAAATGAGATATAGAGCTGTGTATCATCAGCGTATGTGTGAATATTAGGGAGATGGGATTCAACAAAATCGAAGAGCTTACTTGCGTATAGTGTGAAAAGCAAGGGACCTAAACATGACCCCTGAGGTACCCCTTGAGGCAGATCAAAGTCACTCGAATAGCTCCCGTTAATCAGTATTAATAGGAACATCCACGTGTATGTTGAAGTCACCAATGACAATCAAAGGCTCTTTATATAGAATAATGAACTCCATCAGGTCAGAAAACTCCATCAGAAAGATGTTAATAGGAATCCTGTGGTGGTTATCAGAATTCTGTGGACGGTAGACGATCACAAGCCGTATCCCTTGGGAAGTCGACGTTTGGACCAACAACTCACAAAATTTAAACGACTCTTGAATTCCGTCTCGAGTCTTTTTGACACGAAGTGAATCTTTAAACAGTAGTCCAATGCCTCCACCTATCTGTTCTTGTCGTGGAAAGTCAATAAACTTGTAACCAGGAGGACGCAGTTCCGTTCTTAGCGCATCATCACGGGGCTGAAGCAACGTCTCGGTAATCGCAACCAAATCATATTTACGTTGACAGACATAATCTACAAAATCAGCTGTCTTATAACGCACCGATTGAGCGTTCATGTGACAAAATGACAAAAAAACCCCATTCACGAAATTGGCAGACAAGCAGTGCACTTTAGTGAAGTTCGAGACATTCCTTGTTGTTAATTTAGAAAATGAAGAACATGATTGAGGCACCCATAAAGCTCTATTATTTTGATGACGTGATTTCACAACAGTTGATATACCGCATCCGGATTAAGTTTGAAGACCAGATCGCCTAGCAGCACTTGATGGAATGAGGCACATGAATTAGCATAATAGGCTAATGGACGCTTGTGCCTGCGTAAGCGTAACCGGCAGGGGAACTCAGATGGAACGTAGTAGCTGATCCGTGGACGTCGTAAGAATGTAACATGAGCAGAGCCATTGAACAGATTGTTGTGAATAACACCATTAGAGAGCTCATTGTTCCATAAAGTGTGAAACAATACGTCGACTCCGGCTAATAACGTGGCATTGTTCCTTATGCAAATAGGGCTCTCCGTCCGGCTCTCAGTCCAACAGTTCACTGAAGGCAAGAAACAACCAAATATCCCAATATTCCAGCCAGTAGAATGCGTAAGCAACTCAAAACCCAACCAGTAAAAAGTGTGCGGTCTTACACATATACCTTCGTGGTAATATTTCAGAAGGAAGGCAGCAAGAAGTAATAAAAAGACCACGAACACTCTGGTGGTTTTTGCGTGTCTACACCTCATTATAAAAATCTTAAATTTGCATAATACTTACTTATTTTTGTCTACTTATTTTGAATAAGACTTACTTATTTTGTTATCTTATTTTAAATAAGACTTACTTATTTTGTCTAGCATTCCATCATCTAGAAAGTCTCTCTTGACAGTTTCCATATAATTAGTTAAACACCAATAAGCCTGCGCTTCTGATCCCAGCACAATCAAAAATCTACTTAAAATATCATTCATTCCTTGAACATATCCTATATCTGAAATGGAAGAAACATACAAGGAATGAGCTTGAGCCTAACAAGAAAAGTGGAGCATTTGTGTTTGATCATGTTATCCCAGAACCTCATATTTTAGTTGGGGAAGCATTGGAGAGGAGGTTGCATTGAAACTCTATGGGTTACAGGTATCTTCAGGATATATCTCTACCTTTCAAGGTATGACTAAGTCCTTTAACAAAAATTTATGGTATTCTCAGAATGAAAATCTCAAAATTATGACTTAAAAAACTCATAGGCAGTTTCTATATTTCCTTGAAGAAACACCAATAAACTTTTAGTTAAATAAGTGCCCCCCCCCCCCAATTCAGGTAAGCACTCTCCTCTGAGGCAATTATATTTAAATCAAACACCCCCGTCAAATATACTCCCTCATCCTTCCTCACTTTCTTAGAATAAATAACTAGCTGTTTCTATTGCCACTTTATTTATAAATCTTTTACGCTTCAACCGCATCCGAATCAGTACAGGTGAATAGTTTCTTAATTAGTGTCCCCCCTTGATAGAGCCTCCACCAGGCCCAAATTTTAAATGATAATTCCCAACCAGGAAATACAATAGAACACCTATTTGTCTTTGCCAGGTCAAAAAAAAAAAAAAATAATAATAATAATAACAACTATTTACTATAACACATGTCTAAAACATTGTGCCCTTATCAAAAACAATATGCACTAAAAACATTTACCAGATGAGGGTAATTTTTACCCGAATTGACCAATCAGAGTGCTTTGTTTGTTTCAGTTTCCCGCCGGGTAAGTTTACTCTAGTGGGGTAAACTTACCATTAGCAATTCGCTCGTTAGAGCCCTTCTATGGGCTGTATCGACGCAAAATAATTACATTCTTTCGATTGTGCCTTCTTAGAATCGAATTTCGCGATTTGGAGTTGAAAAAGGTGCAAAACCGATCAGCTTATATCTAGGATGGCGCGCTTTTGGATTTGTCGGGATTCGAAAATTGACACTCCTTTGTTTTTCTCTAAAACAAANTGGCACCAAGATGGTTAAAGATTACATGTGTCACCAAGATGGTTAAAGATTACATGTGTCACGGTGGGCGCTTTCCATTTGACCAAAATTTTCGAGATTTCCGGTCAGAAATCGAATGGAACGGGAAAAGTTCCGCGATAAGTTTTCGAAAATTTAGGAATACGTTTTTAGTGTACCCTCTTAGATACGGTCGGACGCGTTCCATTCGGCCAGCGAAAATACCGACATTTTGAACCCGTGATTTTTGTTGAATGGAAAGCGACCCTTGTCACCTAAAACCTGTCAATAAAACACCTTCATGTCAACAATATTTTATCATAAAGGTAAAACAAACATGACTTTGCAAACAAAGGAGTGTCAATTTTCGAATCCCGACAAATCCAAAAGCGCGCCATCCTAGATATAAGCTGATCGGTTTTGCACCTTTTTCAACTCCAAATCGCGAAATTCGATTCTAAGAAGGCACAATCGAAAGAATGTAATTATTTTGCGTCGATACAGCCCATAGAAGGGCTCTAACGAGCGAATTGCTAATGGTAAGTTTACCCCACTAGGGTAAACTTTACCCGGCGGGAAACTGAAACAAACAAAGCACTCTGATTGGTCAATTCGGGTAAAAATTACCCTCATCTGGTAAATGTTTTTAGTGCATATTGTTTTTGATAAGGGCACAATGTTTTAGACATGTGTTCTATATAAATAGTTACTATAAATTTGACTAACAATACCTTGATGATATGCACTGTATGTGATTAAAATATCTCGTAACACAAGAAGATTTTGATTTCCTTTTCCCCTGCAAGAAAATTTCAAAATATTGCTAATAAAACTTAACTGAGGTGCATGTGTGGACTTCATTTAAAAACTGGAAGAGAATTCAAAAGACAAATGCACTTTAAAAGTTTTAGAAAAAAATTAACAAAATTCCAAAAAAATAAAAATGATGATACACATGTACAGTTAAACCTGTATGAAGCAACACCCATGAGGTGGGGTGACCGCTTAATACAGTTTGACAGTTGAATAAAGGTTCACACAGAATATGGAGTATTATAAAAATGATATAAAATTCCAAATGATACCATAAATGACCACTTACATATAATTTACAAAACCTTGCTCAAACATTAAGCACTAACATTGATTTTGGGAGATAATCATGCCTTGGATTAAATTTTATTTGAAGTACCAGTAAGTGCGTTTTGATTACTATAAGATGAAGTTATCATGTCCATGTACCATGACAAGTAATGTAACCTTACTCAAAGAAAGCTTGACTTCTGTCTGTCCTTGGTACGTCTTTATCAATCACCCTGACTGATGAATACAATTTCTGGATGTCTATTGGTTGTCTATCTGCATTAAACTAATGAAAAAACATGACATAGTGTCCAGAAATCTGTCTTATACTTGACAAATCATTTTGATGTCAACCCATCAACTTCTATATGTACCAGTGCACGTTCATGTTGAAAACTTTGTAAAAAGTACTTACAGAAAAATAAGGACAGGGAGCTCATTTTGCATCTAAGGGCTTGCATTTAAGGGCTTGATCATGTGTAAGAAAGTGTAACAGTTTCATTCAATGAAAGGTAGTTAAATGATAATCCATCCCTTTTTATTACCTTAAGCTATCTTTCCTAATGTTTTCAATCGCTTTAAATTCAAAACACAGAGGAAGCAAAAAAAAGTGTTCCGAGTGATAAAATAATGAAGACTTCCTCTTGCATAACTGAACAATGGTAAGCCATTTTAAGATCAGCACGTATTGCACAGTGTAATTGTATTACATGGAACATTGCTGAAGATCAATCTGACTTATAGACAGTAAATATGTGTAATAATTCAGACATCATATAACTGATCTACAATTCATTTTAAGCTACAAACCAAATTTTCTCACACGAACCTTTGCTGTTAGCTTAAGAAACACCATTTGATCCCCTGTGAGGGAATCCCCCTCATGCGCTTCCCCACTTGGCAAGCCATCCCCAACATCATCTCCTAAAGTACTACTGGTTTGTTTGCTCGTACATTCTCTTAAATACAAAGGTATTGATTCAGGGACATCAGGATCCACTGGAGGCTTGTATGTCTTCAAAAGTTCTTTCCATCTCGTTTTCAAAGCTCCATATCTAGCAACATTTTCAGCAGCTAAAGCTTCTCTTTCCCTACAAACAACAAAATTTCTTGATCCTTTTCCTCCAAGAAGTGATTAACATTAGCATCTTAACTGCAAAGACTTATAATATATGCTCAAATGCAGGGTGGTCTGACATGCACATACAATTTTTATATTTTTCAGTTCTATGAGTTTCAATTGTGTTACATGTTCATTGTTGTGTAAAACAGACCCACATTTTCTTGTATTTGAATACACAATCACTGTACAAGCCAGTTATGCCCAATTTATAAACAATTTTTGGTACATTATCCAGTAAACAGGTAATGAGAATGTACTCAAACTCATTGGGTAGAAGTAGTTATCTTGATCTCACACAAATTTTTTGTAGCTAAATTACGAGGAAAGTAGCAATTGGAGGGGAGAACGAACAATCAGATCTTTGGAGCTAAAGTGACTCTAAGTATTATGACAAGAGTTTTTTAGGTTGACTCAGTACAACTAGGAATAAAGTGCCATTTCTAAGCAATTTAGCCTGTGGGTCTAAAGTTATTAGCCTTTCAAGGCACAAGAAATTAACAATAACCAGTAGATTTTTCAGTTTTCAATATTTCGTACAGTACCTTCTTGTTGATAAAAATGGATACAGTCCAAACAAAAAACTCCACACCTCCTTTCTTATCATGCAGTCGATACCACCTTAAATGAAGTCAAACAAACACCAAATTATTTTTAGGTTGCTTTACAACTCTAACAGATCAGTATGATAATACGAATGCAACCTGTCGAATTGTTTCTAATGCTTTGAATTCTCATTTCATGACATTGATTGTAATATTAGTTTTATTCATTTTTCTTTGAAAATGTAAATTTATTTTAAAACACCTTGTTGGACTATTCAATACAGTTACTTTATTGTATCAATAGTTATTGTAATTACACTCTAATGATGCTGGTGTATATCTATGCACGTGTGTGCTTACTTTGTGTGATATAAAATGTAACAAGTTCACTCTTCCCTCGCTAGTCAGTCACAATGTATGTCATGTGACTAAGCACATGGAACAATCACTTGAAGTTGTCAGCCATCTTTGAATGTCTGTTCTTACACTTTGTCCTTTTTTAAACTGCAGCTGTAAATTTAGTCAAATACATAAGGCCTGGTTCAAGTGGTAAAAATTTTTGAAATCAGTATTTTTTATGAATTATCATAGGCTACCACCCCCAACATTGGTCACTTTTGTCCAGACAAACAGCCCACATACATGTAAACAGTACACTATCTACATGTTCAGTTTCTAAATAAAAGGTCTGAGTGTCCTTAGTGCTATACTAAATGATCCAAAAACTGATAACTTTATGGCACCATACTAGTTACGACCAACCTTAACTGTCCCTGGATTGGTAATTGTTTGATCATATGTAAATGGAATTTGCGCACAACAAAATTAATATTAAACTATTATTATTATTGTGAAGAAGAGCTCCCAAAAAACCTGTCGGCTGACTGTCGGCCAACAGTCAGCTGTTTGTCAGCCGACTGTGGGTCCACTGTTGGCCAACTGTCGGTTGACAAACGGCAGACAGTTTGCCGACAGTTTTGGTCAAAAGTTTTGACCAACAGTCGACTGACAAACGGCCGACTGTTGGTGACCTGTCTGTGAAGTGTCGGTAATTTGTCGGTTACAACGTGTCGTCAACTTTATCTTATTTATCCATAAAAGTGAATTGAAAAGATACACTGCATACTGTATGGGAGACTTTAGTAAGTACAGTTGTTGTAGAAACCAATCCTAGCACGAACACCACCAAGAACAGCCAAATTATCAACGTGTTAAATACGATCTCGCTTCAAGCTATTTGTCCACCATTTTGAAATGTGTACCTAGGTCCCAGTCCCCCTCCAATTAACTAGTAATTGGAGGGGGACTGGGACGCCTGCATCCGAGCATTCAAGTCAAATTATCGGATTATGAAAGATACTAATTAATTAAGACAAAACTCGTGGGTACATAAATCACTTTCTTTTTCTTAAGAGGAATGCAAAGTCATCCAAAAGCTTATGTGTCTGAACCTACTAAACTAGAGAACTTTGTTAGTTAAAAGGTGAACATCACTGATACATACACGATGTATCACAAGGGCCGGACTGGACTCCACATTGTATGAAATGTGAAGTTCAGCGACACGACTGAGAAACTTCCAAAGTAGCTTTCTTTCCCCTTGGATTTCTGAGGTTTGGATTAAATCACCTTTAAGCCTTATTATATTGATTGTCCTGCTAGTTAATCATCTCGGAAAAATCTTTTTACCATCGATCAATCAGTAGGCTAAGCTTAACTTGTGTTTATCGGGACTATCATCGTTTCTGGGTCATGTTTACTACGTGTTTTCACACGCAGTAGCCTGTCAGTAGCCTGTCGGTTAGCTGTCGGTAGCCTGTTGGTAACCTGTTGGTAATCTGTCGACAGTTGACCTACAGTCAGCCGACAGGTTTTTTGGGGAGCTCTTCTTCACAATCACCCCTGGATGTGCTACTGAGCATTTTGTTTTAAATAAAAGATTAACGTTCTGCCCTTTGAGAAAAGAAAACAAAAGCAAAACATGAACGTTAACTCAAGTACATACACAGCCTTACAGTACAAGCACATTGTGAATAAAAATAATATTCATTACCTTTAAACACTGCTTTTCTGACAGCAGACTCATTCACCACTCTGCCATCTCTATCTAAGAAAGCTTCCCAAGCACTGCAATGCAGTGCTCTTGTGCGCTCGCTGACTTGAACAGGACTTTCACCATTGAATTGGGAAGTTTCTAACTCATCAAAAGATTTCTGCCAATCATCTTGAGAACTCTCGCTTTCTGAAGAACCGCTGGAGTTCTCGCACATCACCACAACGACCTAAATAGTAATCCACACCTTGCAAAAAAACGACCGCAATAATCAGTAATTTTCGTGATGAAGTGACAACCAACCGACAATAAGAACAAATATTTTGTTACACTATGATCCCAGAAAGCGCAATCTCAGCCAACTATTAGTTTCGAACTTAATTGACATCAAGTTCTATACTTGAACATAGATTGGATTGCATCCAGCTTTAGTACATAAAATTGTATTTATTTCTCTGATCATACGTGTGTGGCCTGATCAATTTTTAATTAAAAAATTAAACGCAATCAAAGATGGACAAGCACTTAAGCGAAATATTGCTTTAAGTACGTAAAGGAAACTTCGCAACAAGATCTCATTCATACGATTGTTTAAATAACTAGGACGGAAGTTAGCAAATATTTACAAGCATCACGAGATTCTCGCTGCTAGGTCACACACATTTATCAGCCAGAAGGGTTCTGTTCACCTCTGATTGATAGATTTAGCCGAAATAATTGAATAAAATGCAACTCATTGCTGAGAAAACATGCCCTCGTTGAGAGAAGATCTTAGTATGCAGAAGCTCATATCCACCAAAATATAACCAACACATTTGCATGTAACATTGGATTACACGAATTCTTATTTTTCACCATTGCGTGATGTGGAATATGTACTCTCAAGCAACTTCCTGAGAGGTACTTAAAACTCACCATTTCTCAGGCCTTTTAATATACCCATACACTTGTACTAGTTTCTCGGGAAGAGATCGACGAGTAATTTGGACATTTGGCAGAAGGCCAGGGCGCAAAGTATAAAAGGGATGGCTACATAGGCAAAACATGGCGACATGAAAAGTTGAAAAACGCAGTTCGTTTCAGTGTTCAATGAACGACTGACTTATTTCGATGAAAACTTCTTTCAAAAGGGATGAATTACATAGCTAAATCTGTAGTCTCAAATAAGCTCTCCTCCGTGGGAAAAAACTTAGGATGGGAAGATAAAGATGAACAACAGGAAGAAGAAGGAGTGTCAGAGAAAGAACTTCGCAAGATCCAGGAGAACAACGCAGCGGCGAGAGCTAAACGACAAGAACAACACGCCAAACGGAACGCTGAGAGAAAAAAGAAACGCGATGAAATACGCGCAAAATACGGACTGAAAGAGGGTCAAGATAAGAGCAATCGCAGTGGCAGTTCCAGCAGTACCAGAAAAACAAGTGTTGATGATAGTGATACTGAGACAGCGAAGGAGAAACAGTGCTCCGTGATGTAAAGGTGAACAGTTAAAGCAAAATATATTTTGGAATTTGTGATACTATTGTGGAAAATGGAATATTCTACGCTTGAAAATTCTTTAGTAAGAAGGTGAAGCGAAACAAGTATTGTTGAGCTAATTAATAGTAAGTTAAACTCGGGAATTGTATTCTATACTAGTGTGTAAGCTAGTTTGCATGGTCCTCAGCCTTGCCATCAGAGCTCGACACTAACGGTAGCCAACTAGCCACGGACTAGTAGAAATTTAGTTTTGACTAGTGGTTTTCGATTTCCACAAGCCAGTTTTGCTAGTAAATTACACAAACTGATGTAACATCTAAGTTGTCATTAGCCACTTGGCTGAATATTGAAACTTGATATTGTCTTATATTCGTCTGCGTTATTTTTGTATTAACCTTAAAAACAAGACATTTTATGTATGCATGGGCTTATAAATCCTAGGCCTTGGAGTAAGCATGAAATGCATTAATAATGATCAAGCGCGAGGTCAAGAAGGCTGGATATTGGCCAAGTTCTTTTTCTTGCCATCTTGATCGAAGAACCTTGGTCAATGAAAGATTTAGTATATAGCCAAAAGAATTCCAGTCATTTAGAATCAAGAAAGACTTGTTCATTGTGAGAGCTGGGAAAGAAAGGTAACTGTATTTGTGGCAATTAACTCACTAGATTCTTCAAGGAACTAGTGTCTGTAAGAATCAACTAAGTGGAAATTTTCAACCCCCTTCATATTTTGTGTGCAGTTAAGCACTCAGGAGGATGCACAAAAATTCCATTTTTAAAGGTTGCAGCAATCTTGTCTTGATGGTAGGGGTCTCATTTTCATAAGTGTAAAATGATTATTTCCCTATCTCAAGCTCATTAGAACATTACAAATTGGTATACTTCTACCATACATTGTGACATCATTCATCTTTACTTTGATGCATTCAATTTTCCCTGAGAGTGAAAGTGAAGACACTAATGGATTATTTAACACTAACACTAATGGATTATTTGTAACCTCCTCCTGGTTAACTCAATGGATAGATTGCTGGACTGTTGTGCGGAAGGTCGAGGGTTCAAGCCCCGGTCGGACCAACACTCATGGTCTTAAAATAATTGAGAAGAATATGCTACCTTTCTACAACATTAAGAAATAGTTAGATATTCTAGTCTTCTCGGATAGGGACGAATAAATGGAGGTCCCGTCTCCTGCAGGGTTAGGTGCAGGAGACGTTAATTTCCCACGCACAAGATTACTGTGTGATGGATGTCCTCCCCTGAGGTGGGATGGGTGGTTAACAGGACCCCTGTTGATACCAGTGTTTACTACACTGAAGGGGCTATCCTGTATAAATATAGATGTCTACTACATTTATCTTAGTACAGTTTCAGTGATTTTTTATTTGGGGTAAAACAGAGAAAATGTTTATCTGCATTTCTCCAAGATAATTTCCCAGAATTTGTGGTTCTAATGGATAGTTAGATCCTCTCTTGTTTGGTGGAGTACTGGGAACAGAGACATTGTGGTAGGAACGAGGTGCAAATAATTCTACAAACAAGAAAAATACTTTTTTGAAGTCTTTAATCACTCTTTTAAAGGAGCTTGACATTTCTCTTACAATTCTTATTTTGTCTCAAGAAAATTAAGCGACAGCAAATTCTAAAACTTTACTGGTCTGATTTTCATCTCAGCTCTCTTAGCGGAGTAGTGGTATCCTTTCCACTGTCTCCAATTGACTCCATCAGCATATGACGAATGCTTCTCACAATGATAAACACCATTTAAGTTTGAGCCATGACAGCTTTTATACCACCAGGCTCCTTTGTACCTCACAGCACAGTTACGACCCCAGTTGTCATTGTCCCGATCTTTGGTAGTGAAGGGAAAACCTCGATGAGCACAGAGGGAATCACCTGCAGTGCCTAAAAATGAAAAAGTGAAGGCAGTCATCAGTTTTAGCAACATAAAATAATGGGGTAGCATTTCCTCTTGGTTCTAGAGGTTAAAATCTAAAATCGTTTAAATATCCAATTTTTCGCCAATCCACTGCCAGTCATTAGGGATACATGTCATTAACCTTTGATGGACTTTTAATAGGGAACGAGATATAAAGGGGTTAGAAATTTAGCATTAAAGACAGTTCATTTTGTAGTAGTAGGGTCACAGTGAAATTTATCTGATCTCCCCCATTAAGGCTTTTTTCTATGACCTCTTTTGGTTAGCAGTCAATTTTCTGTAGTCCCCCCTTAGATTCTGTTTGAGACGACTGATCAAACTGTGCCAATTCCCCTCTTAAGATCTTCAAAATTGACGGGTGACAGCTGACGTAGATTACAACTCACCTGAATAGGTCCCAAGACTCAACTGCTACTTAGTCCTCTCGCTTGTCACTGCAAACAAGTCGTACTCGGCATAAGCATAAAGGCTGATCATTTCTAAAGAAACTGGAGCTGCGTCGGTGAGGGTAACGAAATAATTTGAATATATCAACAAAGTTGGAATGGTAAATTGGCCACCGTTACGATTATAAAAGCTGACGTTTCGAGCGTTAGCCCTTCGTCGGAGCGAAAAAAGCAGTTTTAACCTTGGTATCTTCCAGATCGACTCGAAGCTTGTTCTTTGTTTTTGTCAGACGGTATAGCTTATCAAGCCCCAACCAAAACTCACCCTTCAGATTTCCAAAGCCATTCTTGTTGTCGGCCCAGCCGCGGTAGAAATTAACGGAGCCATCCAGTCTCTTTTGGAACACAGTCCACCCTCCGCCTGTTGCGGTTTGGTCACAGAAGACATCGGACATTGAAGGCACCTAAGCCATCAGGATCGATCCTGTAAACTCCGCTAATACTATGACCCGATTTGTACAGATCAGCACAGTTCTTCTTTACTGTAAAGATAAACAAATTAACAGATGGGATAAATATTGAGCCTTTTCAATTCTAGTTCGAGAACAGATGTACTGCCGCACCGAACCGAGAGAGTTTTTGGCTATCAGGAGAACACTGAAAACCTTGATCACTGGTTCAGAATGGCTAAAATGAATTTTTGACATAATTCTTGAGTTTATCTTTCGGTTTCACTTTTTCTTTGAGAAAGTTGATGTCAGTTTGCATGTGGGCGAGCTGTTTCTTTACATAGTTTCCATGTTCTTGTTTGGTGCCTCGTAGAAAAAAATGCTGTTGCACTTCTTTGTCTTGATAGGTTTAGTTGCACTGTTCCCTGGCTTTGCTGAGACTTGAATCGTCACTAAGACCGCCAAGAACAGAAAACTCCAAAGAAAACTCAAGGAAACAGGAGTTATCGTGATAATTTAAAGATTAGCTTAGCGCGCTTTTCGTAGCGAGTGCGATCAGCTGTGACAAGTCTGCCTTAAATGTGCATGAACGAAATAACGTGTCATATAGAAAAAAAAAAAATCGGGGTGATGAGTCACTCCTTTGAGTACAAGAAAAAATTTCCTGTTGTACATGTGCATATGTAAGCAATGTCTGTTTAGGTAGATAGACAAGCAGACAGGTTGTTGAAAATTGCCGCTTCCGGGAAGGTTTCCATAGAATCGCAATTTTTGAGTTCATTTGCCAGTATAAAAAAATAAGTCGTGACTCAGCATGAATAAAAAGTTTTAAATTATATCAGGTTATTTCATATCAGACATCAATGTACAGTTTAGCGACTTATCGTTATCACCAGCGTTACGCACGAAGAACACTGTCTTCCGATGGAAATTTCAATGTTAATTTCTCTTACACACGGACCTAATGTCTCACGAAATTTGCCAGATGATAATCTTAAAATCAAAACCCCTATCTTTATTTTTCTTGGTTGTCGTTATGATCAGGTTAATAATAAACAAGTGCTTTATTTTCACAATAAGCCGGATTGACGGTTGGCACTTGTTACTTCAATTGATGAATTAAGAATGCTGCTTTGAGCCCACAAAAAATTACCTCAGTTAATAGTGGTTTTACCATATGATATCTATAATTCACTGGCAGTGAGGTAGCCCGTTCAAAGAATATTTAACAAAATCGGTCGTGGTGTAAAAAAGTTAAAATATTTTAATTTATTCAAGGTTGTTTCATATATCAGATCTCAACTCACGGTTTATTCAAATGCAGCATTGTCAATATCACCCGTCGACGATATATATGAATTAGTCCGAGGAACAAAACTCCGTTGACATGTACCACGCACTCTTCTGATATATTCTACTAATTATTTCATAGATTAATAAATAGAATTACTCTGATCACAGTAAAGAATTACCGACTGCTCGAACCGCCGTAACCTCAGGCAAGTTTGTGACAGGTTTTCAAAAGCTATTTTTATCCGCGTACCCTGTTTGTGAACTAGACGACGTGACATCTATCCACAAATGTGAAATTACTCACCCATAAGCTTAATTATCCTTATTCTCAACAAAATCGCTCACAGAGATATAGCCCGAGTCAACCCCAAAAATGCAACCTCGTTTACATGTGTGCGCAATTGTATATGGCGCTGCGAACTGTAAATTATCAGTTCGAGATTTTCAATGCTTCAGGATGTCGGAGAGGGAGGAGTAGGAATCAGTTATCGCTCATAAAAATCGAGGGCGTAAAATCTAATTTGTTTTTCGTATAAATTCATTTATCAGTCGTATAATACTCAGCAGGTTCGTTGTCAGAAGAACGCTGAGAACCTTGATCACCGGTTCAGAATGGCTAAAAATGAATTTTTCGACACTATCTTCGAGTTTACCTTTCGGGTTCACTTTTTCTTTGAGAAAGTTGATGTCAGTTTGCATGTAGGCTAACAGTTTCGTTATATTCTTTAACAAAGTTTCCATGTTCTTGTTTGGTGCCTCGTAGAAAAAAAAAAATTGTTGCATTTCTTCGTCTCGATAGATTGAGTTGCACTGTTCCCTGGCTTTGCCGAGACTTGAATCGTCACCAAGACCGCCAAGAGCGGCAAACCCCAAAGAAAACTCAAGGAAGCACAAGTCATCGTACCAATTTAACGATTGGCTTAGCGCGCTGCCTTAAATGTGCATGAATGTAATTACGTGTCATGTAGAAAAAAAAAAAAAAAAACCTGGGTGATGGGCATGAGTTATTCTCTTTGGTATAAGAAAAATTTTCCTGTTGTACATGAGCACATGAGAGCAATTTGTCTGTTCAGGTAGATAGACAAACAGACAGGTTGTTCAAAAATTCCGCTCTAGGAAGGTTTCCATAAAATCGCAATTTTTGAGTTAATTTGCCAATACAAAGAGAATTATAACAAAATAAGTTCTGACTTAACATAAATAAAATGTTTTAATTCATACCAGGTTATCTCATATCAGACCTCAATCAGTACAGTTTAAACTTTATCATTATCACTCACCAGCGTTACACATGAAGAACACTGGCTGTCATTCGATGGTAATTTGTTAATTTCTCTTACACACGGACCTAATGTTTGGCGAAATTTGCCAGTTCATAATCTTGAAATCGAAATATCTATCTCTTTTTATCCTGCTGATCATGAATGACGTTTACCACCAGGTTATTAATTGTGACGGAACAAGTGCTTTGTTTTCACAATAGAGCCAGATTGACAGTTGGCACTAGTTGCGTTAACAGATCGACTTAGAATGCTGCTTTGAGCCTACAAAAAAATTACCTCAGTTATTTGTGGTTTTACAGTATAAAATGTGTAATTCACAAGCAGTGAAGTAGCCTGTTCAAAGAGTATTAAAAAAATCGGTCGTGGTGTGAAATGATTGAAATATTCTGATTTATACAAGGTTATTTCATACATCAGACCTCAACTCACATTTGATTCAAATGAAACACTGTCATTACCATTCGCCGGTGTTATATGATTTAGTCCGAGTAACAAAACTCCATTGAAATGTACCACGCACTCTCTTTTGATATATTCCACTAATTTTCCTTAGTTTAATAAATAGAATTTATACTATCACATTGAAAGTTTTCTGCTCGATCTCTCAATGTCGGCAAGAAAGGGTGTAAAACCACTTCGATTCCATTGGTTTGTTCGAGCAGATCACTCCCTATTCACTATGCCCCTTAACTCTTTGTAAGCTTCCTCTTCGAAAACAGCAAAGACCGTGCACGCATGTATAAACAAAATCAACTTTCTACTGCACCCGACTCGTATCGACTCCATCGCACTGAGCTTTCGTAATTTCTCAGCTCTGACCAGTATGACTCTGACCAGTAGTCTCGCGAAAGTTGTGTTGATATATTTCAAATACTGAGGTTAAATTTGTGCAGATATAAATATCCCTTCAGGTCAACCTGTATTTTGTTTATACTTATGTATTTTAATTTAGCCGAGAGACCCTTTTTTACAAGGAGCTATTTCGGTCGTTCCCCATATCGGCTCTATCGAATCGGAAGTCTAAAACAAAAAAAAATCAGGCTTAAAAATTAGGCATTTTTCAGCTTATTGGCTGAAAAATGCCTATATAAGTAAAGATAAAGTGAAAAAAACAATTAGCTACCATACTGAAAACGTTTTGATTTGATGCACGCTTGATTAATTTTATTTCGCAAAGACAAACAATATAGTAACAACTGAATGTAAAATCTGATCACACAAGCATGATGATGTTTCGCGTTTGGTAACCTCAGGGCAAGTTTGTGAGCAAACCCCGATTGTGAACTAGACAACGTGGCAACGTGGCAACGTGGCAACGTGGCATCCTTTTACGAATGTGAAATTACTCACTAATAAGGTTAATTATCCTTCTTGACAGCGAAAAACCCTCAAAGAGGTATGGCCCGAGTCAATTCCAACCTCGTTTACATGTATGCGCGGTTACATGTCCAGTAGTATAGCTCTGGGAACTGTAAAAAGGGCTATTGGATTATAAGTCCGAGATTTTCAACGCTTGATAGCAGGGAGGGAAGGGACCGAATCAATAGCCCTTATCGCATTTGTGTCTCCGATGCAAAGGGTCCGCAGAGTTACAGTTTCAGCACGAGGCTATCGGGTCAACGTTTCTCGAGAAACACCAGAAACACTCCATATCTGACCATATAACTCTGGAATCTGCGTTTTTTTCTGCCGAGGAAAAGGTTAAAGTAGCGGTAATTGTCCTGGCATCATGAAAGGAAGATTGAAATAATGGCTTTCATTTCGGAAAGGAACAGCAAAATTTTGTCGCTTTTGTTCCTGACTACGGTTGTTGTCAGTTCATTTTTCGGCCTTTTTGAAGTTTAACTAAGAGTCACCTTTAGGTCCTCAGCGCCTTGCGTTCGGCCGAAAGCAAATGATCTTCTGGCTTTGTAATTTCTATTTCTGAAAGGTCACTTTTAACCTCTTCTAAATAGCTTTCAAGGGCTACTGATTTTTGTATTGGTGGTATCCATGTAGATTTGACGTTCCAGGGATGGGTTTTATTGTCTTCCCTCGGAATATGTAATTACTGAATCAGACGCATTCTCCTTGCGAACTGATCAAAGTCACACAATAGTTGTTGTCTGATCTGTTTTTGTTTTGTAGCGGGTGTTGGAATGAATTTAAGCCCTTTTGCCAGTAAATTAATCTGGTCGTTTGTAAGTTCTTTATTTGAGAGGTTTTTTATGTGCGTTTTGTTCGCCTCTAGTTTGATAGTTGAACGTGTTTGGCAAGACCGCGGTTTCGATCCTAATCTTGTGGATCTCGTCAGTTGCCGATTCACTGAATAGACTGTTGCACCCGTACGCAATACAATGTCTAACCATGACGAGAACACGCTGTATCCTTAAGAAAATGAATAAAAATGCCTCCAAACGTAGCCGTTTGCTTCGATTTTACTTGAAAGTTTTACCTGTGTGACCCGATAGCCTCGTTTCGAAACTTCAAAGTCCGCTGAGCTCTCGTACAGTGGGCGTAAATGCGATAAGGGCTATTCTCACGCATAGGAATCGAGGGCGCATAATCTATTTTTTTTTTGTGTTAAAATATAAATCAGTCGTTCAACATTAGGCAGGTTCATGCTTTCCTTTAATATCTTTTTTACAACCGCGCGTTGTTAGGCTACTCTTGCTACTCAGTGTCTATAATCCGAAAAATGAGTATTTGGCGGAGAAGCGAGGCTTGGAGGGCGAATGGGAAACTGTGAAGACAATCTCTCAGTGGCAGACATTATCAGCCAAAATACCAGTAAGCCAGAGGGATTTTCATTTTATAACCCTCCATTAATTTTCACTGATATGTCGCACATTGACAGCAAATTTTGTTGACTTTTTTTATACTTTCTGGAGCAGCATTTCACTCTACATAGGCGAGTTTACCTCCAAATAAGTAATAAAGACAAACCCTTAAGCTTGCCAACATAGGGAAAAGGCTCTGGGAACGAGGTTGTCAGTTACTAATAAATGCACTTAACATTTTTTTTTTCTACTTTTATTTTGTCTTGGTTCAAACAAGGCAAACTGCGGCAAGATTTAAAACTTTACTGGTCTGATTTTCATCTCGGCTCTCTTAGCGGAGTAGTGATGTCCTTTCCAGTGGTACCAATTGACTCCATCAGCAAAAGATGAGTGCTTCCCATGATGATAAACACCGTTCAAGTTTGAGCTATGACAGTGACTGTACCACCAG